AAGGTTTGGAGAAGTGGAGCCTGCTGGGAAGAGGGTTGGTCCTCCAGCCTGACATTAAGGGGGTATTGGGATTCCAGACCCTCCACTTTTTCACTCCCTTCCTTCCAGGCTGCCAGGTCAATAGCACACTCTACTGCAAGCTTCTGCCATGATTACTTCCTCACCATGAACCCTCAAAACTATGCAACTAAGCCTAGACTGAGGCTTTCAAACTGCAGCTTACTCTTTTAAAATTATGATTTGGAGTACTTTGCTGCAACAACAGAAATCTGCCTAAAATTACTTATTTTCTTCTTCTTAAGCCCTCTGAATGTGAGTGATAGTTATATGGCTTGATCTGTTGGACTGGGGGGGGGGGTCTCCTGTCAGTGGGACCAGGGCTTATCCTGGGAGCATGAACTGGTTTTTTCAGAGCCTATGGTGGGATGCCTTGCTCAGCCTTGATACAGGGGAGAGGGACTTGGTTCTTTCTCAACTTGGTATACAAGACTTTGCTGACTCCATAGAGGAGACATTGCCTCCTCTGAGGAGAGGATGGGGGGGGTATGAAGAGAAGTCTGATGGACAGGAGAAGGAGACGTAGGGGGAACTTGGGCTAGTATGCAAAATTAAAATATTTTTAAATAAAAAGTAATTTATGTTTTTGATTTTTCAGATGTTTTGTTAAATTTCATTGGCGGGAACTGAGTAAATGCTTGAATTTCTCTGTTTTGTCAAAGTGTGTAAATCTGTTTCTGAAGTCATTTCATTGATTTGACAATCAGGACCTGCATGGCTACACCAATACTGTGTTTTTAAATAATATATTTTGATCAATTCTTGGGGAATTTCATCAATGTACTTTATATATTCACCCCACCACCGCTCTACCTAACCTAACTCCTCCCACTTCCCCACATCCTCTTTGAAAGTTTTTTTTTTTTTTTTTTCTGTTTTTTTTTTTTTTTTTTTTTTTTTTCTGATTCACTAAGTCTACATACTCATTGGCGCAGGGCCATTCAGAGCAGTTTGGTCTCTCTACCTGGGACAGCTGCAGTGATCATGTAGACTTTATTCCTTAAATTGCCCTAGAGTCTAACACAGTGCCTGCCATATATTACAAACTAAAAAAAAAAAAAAAGAATTAAAAACAATTGAATAAAAATAAAAATTTTAATTTTAGAAATTTCTTCATTGTTCTTCAAGAATTAGAAAATAAACTGTTAACTCTGGTTTATTTAACAAAGAAGAAAAATACTTTGTCTCGTATATTGCAGGATATCAATCATATGAATCGTGTGTTGCACTGTGAACCCCAAGATTGCATAATTTGTAGACAAACCTGTTTCTCATTATGGTGTGGCTCAGCCCTAGCACACACCTTTGCTCCAAGTGCTTTCTGCTTGGATATTGTAAACAGTATTAGATGAATCAACCAAAGCTTGAGAGGCAGAGCAAGCAACCCATTGACAGGAAGTGAACAAGACAAAGCCATAGAGATTAAGAGGGAGGGAGGAGGAACAATAGAGAGATGCACAGGAAGTCCACAAGAGGGACACTTAGTTTGAGAGTCTTGTTTCAGATGGTAAGAGAGTGGAGGTTTCTGGGAAGTTGACTGAGGAAGAAGGTCAGCTGGATGCTTTCTCTGACTCTCTGAGCCAGTAAGTTTTGACCCCAGAATGTGGCTTCTGGGTCTTTATTGGTGAAATCAAATGATTGAGATTTTGTTAAAAATGGCAACCATACAAACCAAGGAAAGAAGATAAGAGGCATCTAAGCCCCACTCCGTTCTGTGTACACCTGTGTTGTTTTGAAGACTTGTACACATTTCAAAAGAGGTTCATTCATCTGGCTATGGTGGGCTAGATGGCAAAGAGGGAAGAAGGGTGAGTTATGAGTGAGAAATAGTGTTTTAAATAGCGTAGTCCCCTTCAGTTATGGTTTAAAGCATACATAGTGGAACCCTTCCACTTACAGCGCATGACTTTGTTCAAGGGTGATAAAAGTAAGTATTTTACAAATGATATTTAAGCATTTGTAGGTAGAGATTCTATCACAATTGATGAAAACACCAATCTAATTATTTCTTGAGGAAAGTTCACAATATGTATGCTAGGCTGGCCTAGACCTCATGAGTTTCCTGTTTCATCCTCTATGTACTGGGAGCAGATGTGCTCCAGAACTCTCAGCTTTTCATCTAATATTGCAGACTGTGTATTATGATTTTTGAACCCAAATATAGTTATTATTAAGCATTTGTGTCTATTTATTCCAGATCCCTCAGCTCTTACCCAACACAATATCCAAATGATAGGAAAGTGTCTTACACTAAGGGTTCAGGGTTCAAGATTTTACCATTGAACCATGTGTGGCACCCAGAAAGGCTTTACAAAATCTATCACTTCAGTGGAAGAGGAATTAAAAGAGAGACATCCCTCTGGACCAGAATGACTGGAACAGTTGTCTCCTATTTGTGTGTTGACAAGTATGAGCTGGACTGTATCAATGTCCATACATTCCAATATGGAGCAATCTACGTCAGTTTTCTGTTTGTCATTAAGTTTGGGGTTTTGTCTCTATGCTGCTGATTCTGCTACAGGGGCTTGAGCTGTGCATGTGTGTCCAGGGCCTCCAGAGTCAGAGGGGGATGACAGTCACTAATTCTATATTGCGCTTACTCGTGTATTTCAAGTGCTTTACTATTCTTGAGTTTTGCCATCTGTAGGGGAGGGAACATGAAACCCACAACATCTTGTCTCTCAGTGGACTTTTTCATACATTGTACTCATGATTACTTAAGGGAGGTTTAGCTCAGTAGATCTTCCATTACCTGGTTATTACAGGATGACTTCATAGAATAAATAGCTGAAAGGCCAGCCACCCCTTCTCTCTCATCTCATGGAAGGAAGAGCTGAAAGACCGGCCACCCCTTCTCTCTCATATTTTTTATTTCTGTGCATTTCTGACAAAAGGCAAACTTTGCCTTTCACTGAAGATAAAAATTCCTGTATATAAATCAGATAAGTTCCCACCAATATTTTACTTACAGCTCGATTCGCAATAATCCAGATTATATATGAACTAATGATGTCTCAGAGTTATCAACATTTCTAAATGGGTTCCAGAAACTCACAACAGCTGTATTTCCTTATTCATGTGCTCACTGAAACAAGAATCAATAGCAGGCCCTGGACTACCACTGGGATAATAGACAGCTCTCTTTTCTAGACTCTCAAGTCTCTCATTTTAGGGTTTCTCATACCCAGTCCCAGGGTTTTCATAAAATCCAGTATCTGTTGGTTTTCTTTAAGTCATTCAACCACTGAGATTATCATACGGCACACTGATGTAAAATAATAGAGATTTTAAAAGTGGAAATGTTTGCTCTTCTACTCTCATTTCAACCTTTTTCTTCTGCTTTATTATGCATAAGATTCATGACACTTTGCAGTATGAAACTGATGGGAATTGGTAGCTTTAAATTAGTATTAAGTAATTGGTAATGCAATGTACAAACTAGAAGTGCTTTCTTGTTTCGAGTTGTGAGTTTCTTCTCCCCCTCTCTCCGCCCAATCATTTTACCACTGCCTCTTACGAACTGATACAAGGAAAAAAATATTATGAGGAATAAGTTGAATTTCAGAGGCATATTACTGTAATTTTATCAAATATGCCAAGATGTGAGTTTAATTTATCGGGAAAACAAATTTCCCCCCAAGAATTGTCAGATTAGTTGAATCACAATTTCACTTGCTGAAATGAAGGAGAAAAGGAAGAAATTGGCATAAAGTAGGAAAGACAGAACTGAATGTTGATGTTTTCTTCAACTCTGTCTTTCATTTGAGCACAATACTCAGAAAAAACTGGGAATTTCAGCCAACTAAAAGCATCCCTGGAATCAAATGATTTTCTTCTTGATTGTGCATGAATCAGAGACTCTCAGTGATGAAACATGTCAGAATTAAGAGGTTAACATGTATGACAGGGAACAAACAGGAGGATGTTTTAGCTGTGTAATCCTCAGAAAGAATTTGAGGACAATATGGACTCTGTATGTGGTCTTCTCTCTTGACACCAGATTCCTTGATACCCTCACCCTTTTCCGAAGTTTCAGTCACCACCTCTACCAGGGAGAAAGCCAAGCTTAGAGTGAATGAGTGTCCCTAATTTCACTTCCATAGTGGACTTTGGATTTCACACTACCATAAATATGTTAGTTGGTATCTTTCGTCTTTCTTTTTCTCCTGTCAAAGCTGTGTTGGTTACAAGGGCATAGGTATATTTTCTTTCAAAACAATCCTTCCAGATGATTCTGAATTCTTACTTCTTCTTCATAAAGTATTGTGTATCGCCCTGGCGTGGATTGTGATTTTTTTCTAAAGGGTAATTACTTATTTGTACAGTATCCAGAAGTGATAATCAGTCATTCACTTATTGAACACATGCCATTTACCAGGCTAATTAGAGACACAGGAAATAGAAAGGTCAATGGAATCAGTCCCCTACCCTTGAGAGTTTTGTTGTCTATTAAAAGGCCTCTGATGCATAAACAGGTGAAGCTGCAATAAAATTAGGGTGCTGTGGGTGAAAGGTAGGAAAAATACATGTTATCAATATTGGGGGAAAGTTCTATCATAGAAAGCTAAAGAAAAAATGATTTTTTCTTATATCTAGAAGGATGAAGAGGTATTTGAATTTAGAAAAAGGGAAATTCCCATTTAAAAAACATTCCACATGCATACAAAAAGCATTATGAACTTCTTATCCTATTTCCACCCTTTATGCTCATCTCTTCCCTCTGACCTCATCTTCTTCTGAACTATACCCTTTCTTCTATCATACTTCATAAAAATTCTTTTTGAGTCACTGATTTTGATTCAAGTTTGTAATGTCACCTTGGAGAAGGGAATCATATGACGGAGTACAGACAGCAGACAGACCAATGTCTGCAACACTGAAGGACACCCAACACCCCCCCATTTGGTAATTATTAACTTGGAGTAGCCTCTCAGAAGAGAGTGGAGCCTCGTGGGCACTTCACCACCGATGTAAAACAGTGTTAGGTGTCAAGTCTTGTGCAGGCCTTGTTTAGGCATTCATAGCTGCTATGCATTTGTGTTCATAATAACCTTGTTGGATACTGGTGGCAGTAAAGGAAATTTCAAGACAGAGTGATAGTTTGGTCCATGGTCATAGACAGACGTTGCTCAAGGTCATCTATGTAGAATATGATCAGAAGCTTAATGCAACGTGAGCTGAGGACATGATGAGCAGCTAATATATTCCAGTCACATGTCCTTTCATGCTATATTTGTGAGTTTGTCTTTTCCCCTGTGCAGTATGTAGATATCTGAACATGTAAGCACATGAGTAATAGAAATCTATTTCTATTTTGTTTTTAAAGGAAGACAACTTTGTAATCGGTGTGGCGGATGCTTCATGTGCAGGAAGCAGTAGAATCGGAGGACCTGTGCAGCCATTTCGTTGACAGTTGATGGAGACATGGAATTAGAGAAGCTTGTGAATTGGAAGAATAGTCTCAAGAAGAACTCCGAAGCAAGAGTGATCATCATCAGGACATACTACCTATCAGGTAGAGAGTTTCCAGATAAAGAGGTAATCATTGTAATTTGGAACATTTTTGACTTGGAAAGCAAGGTGTGGAAAATGGCGGGCAGGTGAGAGAATAGTTAGTTTATCAGAAAGAAGAAGGAGGATTTAATGGTGGATGTGTTTATTTAACAGGTGTGTGGAACAGCCTTGTGAATGTGTCCAGCAGGCTGCACAAAATGTGATTTCTGCTGGGTTGATAGATTAGGCTTGGTGTTCAGGGAATCCTTAACAAACAAACCGCAATAAATGTCAGTGAAAGCACAAACAGCGACATGACCCAGAATGCTCAGGTACCAGCAGTCTGATCCATGTTCCCTTCCTATCACTGAATAATGCCCTAAGTCAGCGTGCTTGCAGTTTATATTACATCAAAATTCTCAGAAATGAGCTGCCTTGATTATGTTTTTTTTTCTCTCTAAATCAAAGCCTCCTGATTCTTCTTGTGTTGTTGCATAATAATGATAGGTACATTAATACCTCCTTATATATTTTTCTCCTTAACAATACCGTATCTCATATGTTAACACAATGTCATTTGTTACATCAATTTCAATTCTCTTACTAAAGTTCTTTTCTATATATATTCAAGGTGACTGCTGTGAAGAGGTCCTTCCCACAGTTTTTTTTCCCTTCATAGCCAACACCAACAATGGTGGAAATCACTATTTATAGAACCAACTTCTCATTGCTCTTACTTTCTCATTAAGAATGAACACTATTAGGAGAAAGGGGGTAAGTCATGGACATTAATATTTCATTCTGATAATGAACACATAACCATGCAGTTAGGAAAAAACAACATTCCTTTAGAATTCCCTGGTCTCTGGGAAAATAAACTATACATATTGCAAGCAAATGAGATTTAGTCTGATACCTCAGGATAATAGAGAATTTGGCCTTTAAAGGCATTTAAAAAAACAGTTTTCTGTTTGATAAAAGACATCTAGCCAGTTTCTATGGACCTTAGACAGAAGCAAAGATCAGTGTGTTGAAGTTAATCAGTAACTTGAACTATCTTTTTCCTGTGTTTGGAAGGGAGAAAAAGAGACAGACTGCCATTAAAGTATGTGTTATTTCTGCAGAAATACTTGCATCTTTGCCGAATTTTAAGGTCATTTTTTTTCTCCTGTGACTTTGTATGAAATTCAGAATGCTCCATGTCTGCCACTTTTTACTGTAGCACACGCAGCCACACTCTGTGAGTTTCATACCAAAGCTTGTAAGCTAATGTTGTACAGTTGGAATGATTCAAGGCTTAGACAAGAGACATAACTTAGACTGGGGTGAAGATAATGTATTCTAGAGGAGCAATCCAGCATGAGATACACAATGCTTTCTAAAGCAATGACTGGATTCCTGTCATATCATGTATTTATCTCTTCCCATTAAACATATCACATATCTGTATGATTTTAGGATGTCAGATGATTTTTTGGGATACCCTAGACCAATTGTATCCATATGGATTAGGAAATATTAAGGGGAGAAGGGCCAAGTTTCTTTTCCAAGGGCATACAGGAATCAGCAATAGGATTTATATGGTAACTTAAGATTTCTGATTCCAGACAAGAGGATTGTTTTCTTCATATTGCATCATCTATATTGTTTGAACTCAAAACTTCCACATGCGTAATGAGTCTGTTTTAAATCAAATAGAAACAAGGGGGCATGTGTCAAAAATCAAACTTTCCTTCCAAATCAGAACTCTTGATACCTAAGATACAAGTATGCTTACATTACTGCTTGTTTATCACTGTATTTTCTAATGTGAAGATTATATTCTAGGATTCTGTCAAGATTTAAAGCCTCCTTAAAGTTGACAAAGGATAAAAATGAAAAAAGTCAAATACTAGTGCTTAATAGCCTTCATAAAATACTGAGAATTCTTAGTACATGGAATCGATCAAAGATAAAAGCAGGGCTGGACATGTAGCTCAGTGCTAAAGTGCTGGCCTAGTATGCACAAGTATAAGTTCATTCACCAGTACTATAATATGTACACACACATACATATGTACACACACCCTTACACAGAGTCTGTGTATGCTTCTCTCTCTCTCTCTCTCGTATGTGTGTGTGTGTGTGTGAAAGAGAGAGAGAGAGAGAGAGAGAGAGAGAGAGAGAGAGAGAGAGAGAGAGAGAGAGATCAGAAGAGAAGATATTTATATTCTACAACTTGGCATACTAAAACATGCAACGATGCAAGTTTTATCTGTCTCCATAAGAAAAAAAACCACAAGTGAACAAATAATTCTTTAAATTTGCCCACTGGGGACTGTTACCACTTATATACTTCCAAAAGAGCCTTAGTCTTGCACAATCAGGGCTTTGAACACAGGCAAAAGCATGCAATTAGAACAATTTCTGCATCATACAAAGAATCCATTCTTCAGGTATAAAATCCTGCCCTTCCCAAATGTCTTCCAATTCTGGATTCATTGATTGTGGTTCTGAATATTCGGTGCATCTACCTATAGCAAAAGAATTTTGTGCTTTCCCATTGCATTCACAGCTGCTTGTAGAAGTAAAGAAATTTGGGAGAAGTTGATACATGAAAAGAAAAAAAGCCATTCTTTTCAGACTTGAAAGCATAACAGCTTGGAAAAGGTAAGCATTTGTGATGATTATCTTAAAGAAAATTAGTCACTCAAACTAACACTTGGGGAGTCATCCAAAATAATACATACTTCTTTGAAACTCTCAAGATTAAAGGTTAGTTGGCTTGTTTTCCTTAGGTCTTGAAGGGCAGACTAGGAGATGTTAACTACTAAAAGCTGACCCTGAGAAAACCACAAGGATTGGCTAAAAGGCTGGAAACATCTCACTGAAATGAATTCTCTTCTGTTTCCTATACATACTGTTTGAGCTGTGTCTTGGTAGCCTTTGTGGTCCTGTGTCTCATCATCTGAAAACAGATTTAATTTGATGGCCATACAGTACAATGGAACATAAGGGTCTAAGACTCCTTTTGACCCTTTGATATGAAGATGAATGGGTAGTTATACCATTCAATTATTTTAAGCATCACTTTTCTCATCTTTGGAATGAGTTGCTGCCACCTTAATTCATTTAATTCTGGCTAAGATTAAATATGCCAGTCACAGGGTAGGTACTCAGTAAGCATGTGTTTTACTTTTGTATGTTTCGCCTGTTCAAATGCTAGACTAGTCTACCCCAGACCTTTTGGGAGCTATTGTGCCTATTGTACCCTTGGTCAAATTGGTATCAGCTGCTTTTGCACAGAAGTGAAATTAAATGAAGTAGAATAAGCTGCATTTCTCCCCCATTCTTCACACTCAGGTCAAATCTTACTCTAAGCCACATTTCTGTTGGTCCAAACTCAGGGCACATGCCCATCATTGCTGCCAGGGCTGATTGCATAACCCACACCTCCTCTCCTTTCATACTTTCATTTCCTCTTGCCCCCTCTCTCAACTATTCCCTAGAATATGCTTTCTTCTGTGTACCTGTTGATTCTATTGCTTTGGTTTGTGTCACAAGGATACCAATTCCTTTTACCATGTGTTTTTACCCATACAGGAGTCAGTTGTCAGTCCTACTCTTGTCCGAGTTCTCATCCCTTTCATGACTGCCATCCTTGCTCACCACACTGAGTTCTTACCTGAGATGATACAACTGTGTGTAAACCAAGTAGGACTCGTCCTGTTTCTACTGATAAGTGCACTCAAAGTAGCTCTCAGATATGTCACCCTGGGACGATTTTAAGTCAGGGCTCTTGTGACTCTCTTTGTCTGTCCCCAGTGTTTTTCACAGAAACGTGGTAACTCACTAAATATATTGTTGAACAATTAAAACTTAAAGAAAGAAAGAAAAGAGAAAGAAAGAGGAAGAAGATGAAGGAGGAGGAGGAGAAGAAGAAGGATAAAAAGAAGATGGAAGAGGAGGAGGAGAAGAAGAAGAAATGTGCTAATTTCCCTTACCCTTTGACTATCTTAACAATGCTTTGTGTGATTCTTAATGTCATATAATCTTATTTAGTAAAACTTCCTGATTGAATTTTAGGCCAGATGTTTAAGCTGAGGCTCATAAATGAAGGTATATTTCCCAAGTTGCTATGTTAATGTGATTCAAGACTTGGACTTGAATCCAGCCTTCCTCCCCACAGCTTCTTTTTATTGTTATGCAGTATTTTATTTATATTTTAGGGGTCTCTGAACCTGCTTGTCTCATCCCAAGGTATAGGTCACAATGCTTGATGCTTTGGGGACTGTCTTCTCAGAAGGCCGATCTTTAACACTGTAGCCAGCCATAGGTGATTTGAGAATGTGCCAGGCATCCTAAATATATAGAGAGCCTGCTTCCTTCATTCTGTCATTCAGGACACATTGTTCATCACAGAACCAGAGACAATGAACTCTGGCCACATAACTTTCAAACAGCTTAAATAAAGTTTTAATGTTGGGAATGTGAAAAGCCTATTGTCTTGCATCTGTCTTTGATATTGCTTTTCTTATTACACTGTTTGGTAGTCTGTACAAAAATTGGTAGAAGCATATAACTTTTTGAAATTAGATACTTAAAGATATTTAATTGCTTATCTGAATTATTAATGATACAATGTATTGAGGTCAAAAGTCTAGAAGCTGTTAGATGAATTCATGGCGTAATAAAAATCTAGGAATCACATAAATATAAATTTGTCGTCCCTTATAAATATAAATTTGTCATCTTCTTTTAGACTCTTGATAACAAAAGAAGAGTTAGTAAGAAAATTAGGAAGGAGAAGAGGCACACAGTTAATTTTCTGCTTCCTAGAGAATGGGTTCATCAGTAAAGAGTCATTGCAATAGCAGTGAAAATGCATGCAGATGATCGCACACAGTACAAGTACATTTCCAGATACTATTTTTATTCCCAAAGTGACCATGTATATCAACTAGACTTACGTGTTTCTTTGTAATTGACTCTTTTATGCCTCTTCTTGTAACAGGTTTTGCTAATAAAGGTGTTTGTATCAAAACCACAGAGAAACCCTGTCTCGAAAAACCAAAAAAAAAAAAAAATTTCCTATTTGTTTATTTACTCTACTTATTTTGTCCTTATCGGTCTGCAAGATCCCAAACTTTTAGGCAACTGCCCAAACTAAAGATGATCAGCAGATAGTTTGAAACCATGAGGGGTGATGTGTGGGTAGACTGAGGCAGGAGGATACAAGTGGGAGGCAAATTTGGGCTGTGTATGGACAGCCTATCTAAAACAAACAAACAACAAACCAAGATGAATGCCCAAACTAACAAAAATGTATTTTTGAGAGATTAACTATACATATAAAAAGAATATTGTGGTCTAGGTTTGAAGGTTTGTAGCCTCTGAAGATTCTGCAGCAAAAAATATGTTTTAACAGTATTTAAAAAATTTTAAAAATTATATACATCCCTGGAATGCCATCAAAATTTTATTTTTTCCATTCCATGTAGGTTGACAAAAATTAGAAGAGATTGTTTTCCATTGCAAGAAGAGATTTCAAAAACAGAGTACATAGTCTCCCTATAGCAAACAACAGTGGCTCTCCTTCTTCTCCTTCTTAGAGTATGAGAAAACTTTGATTCTACTGTTCTTATCTGGACCACTGTGAACCACATCTATAAACAAGGATAGCCAACTAAATAAGACAAATGGACAAACTAATAAGGGGTTCACAATTTGAGGAAACTACTCCTCTGAAATACATGGATTTTACATGATCACCTACAGTCGTCAATGTAGTGAGAGTCTTTTGCATGAGGCATCCAACTTGGCCATTTCCATTCCATGGCCTGCAGCTCTCACTTCTTTCTGCAGTGGGTAGCTTTGCCAGAGGAAGCTTATATCACATATCCATGGCCCAATCACACTGAGTGCCCTGGGGACTGTATTGTGTAAGTAATGATAAAAGGTGTTATTGGCAGATCTCCCCAAAGTACATTTGCTCATTCATTCTCATCATCTGTAGTAATAAAGCCCAATTTCTTTGTTTCCAACTATGTAGGGTTGAAAATTTTTAATTAAAAATAACTTGTAAAATACATGTATAGAAACATGTCACCTAGTAAACAGTCTAAAGATAAATAAGGACCTTGTCCTTTGCTTTGCAGAAGCTTTTCAGTTTCAGGAGGTCCCACTTATTAATTGTTTCTCTCACTGTCTGTGCTACTGGGGTTATATTTAGGAAGTGGTCTCCTGCGTCAATATGTTCAAGTGTATTTCCCACTTTCTCTTAAGGATGCTCAATCATACCACAGGACACGTGTTCAGCTATGTTTATAGCAGCATTGTTATTCTTAGCCAGAAAATGGAAACAACCTAAGCTCCTCAACTGAAGAATGGATAAGGAAAATGTGGTACATTTACACAACACAGTACTACACAAGAGAAAAAAAAAACAATGCCATATTAAATTTGCAAGCAGATGGATGGATCTAGAAAACACCATATTGAGGGAGTTAACCCAGACCCAGAAAGACAAATATCATATGTACTCACAAATGAGTAGCTTTTAGACATAAAGCAAAGAAAACCAGATTACAATTCACAATCCCAGAGAACCTAGACAACAATGAGGACCCTAAGAGAGACATTCATGAATCTAATGTACATAGAAAGTAGAAAAAGACAAGATCTCCTGAGTAAATTTGGAGCATAGGGACCATGGGAGAGGGTTGAAGGGGAGGAGAGAGGAAGGGAGAAGAGGAGAGAAAAATGTAGAGCTCAATAAAATAAAATAAAAAGGAAAAAGAATAAATAAGAAAAATAATTTTACTATGAGTTCTAAAATATAATATATGGAATTAAGAGCTGAAAGTTCTTTTGTAGGGAAGCTGCCACCTTCTGGGAACTCTCAGATGGTCTATGAGAAAAGATCTGTTATAATGTTAAAACAGATTTTCCTAGTAAAGAGAGCAAAATTACAGTATTTAGGGTAGATATTAAAAGATTAAGTACTTTTGTTATATATTAGAAATGAGCAGTTTTCATCTGACTTAAAAAGCACCATACCAACAAGATTAGCAATGAGGAAAGGATACTCATCTTCATGTATGTATGTATTACTCGGCATGCACAGCTACTGTATCAGTAGAACTGCAAACCTCCGATAAACTATTGTCACTGGATTATGTCTTATAGCCGATGTGCCAGATGAATGTAACAGGGACTGTAGGGGCCAGAGAGGATGTACAGAAACTCTCTGGACACTGTTCACTTTTTTTTAGTAATACTTGTGACCACCTCAAGTATAGAGACTATTAAGAATAAGTACCATCTTAAATGGTATGTATGGATATGTATATACACAGGATGCTGCTCTAGTAAGCATATCCCATAGATAGCAATCATCCCAAGATTCAGTATAGCACACATGGAGACTCTCTGCAAAAAAGCAGAATACAGTGAGCCTGATCCAGCTTTGTAAACGAGGCAGATCTGGATCAAAATCAGAACTCGGCAATTGACAAGAGCTGACTAAATCCAAACAAGTGGCTTTAATTTTTTTCCTGGACCCTTATTTTTATCATCTGTAAAGCATGAATGACAACACTTGCATCATTTAACTGTGATTATGATGGCAATTCACTTAAGCGCTGTGTGACAGAGTGTAAATGTCTGCTAATGGACAATATCCAATCCTTAATGTACGAAGCCACACAGAAGCATTGTCCTCATTTCGAAGGTGACAGGATGAGGCACAAAGTGAGACAGGCTCTGGGAAGAAATGAAATGCCTTTCTACAGCAAAGGGAAACGGGGCTCATTTGTTTGGCTACACACACATTCAAAGACCATTTACTGACTGTTACTAGTGTTAAAGGTTTTATTTTTAAAGATTTGCTTTAAGTTTGAATTGTGTGTGTGTGTGTGCGTGCACACATGTGTATGCTTGTATGTGTGTGTGTGCACGCACATGTGAGTGGAGGTGTCTGAGGAGGCCACGAGAGGGCATCATATCTCCTAGAGTTGGAATGGCAGCTAGCTGTGAGCTGATGACGTAAAGGCTAGTACTGATTTCACATCTTCTAGAAGAGGAGCAAGTGTTCAGAACGGCTGAGCCATCTTCTCCAGCCCAAACATTACAGTTTTTACTACTCTCATTTGTCATTGAAAGTTATTTTATACAAATTTATTTCCCTTGCTCACGCTTAGTACATATGCATACACAGATGTGCATGTATTTTCATATTTTATACTACATTTGAAATAGCTTTTTCTTTTGTTTAAACTTTATGTAAAGGTTTACTTTTACCAATAAGGATACACACACACACATGTTCGCATATACATACACAAATAGACATAATAGCTCCACTCTAAAACTCTAACACATTCTGGATGCAAAGAGCGAACCAACACATCTTCAGGGTTATTACACCCTTGGTTTTCTTCACACAGCCCCTGAGAATACTAGCCCGCCCACTCATGAAAGCACACACGCCACAGAACTTTGAGGGGGACAGAAGATGTATTCAGCCCATCCATTAAAACGAGATCTGCATTTTAATTTCTCTTGTGTCTATATACTTTCCTTGGCAAGGAAACAGGAAGTTCTGCTTCTGCTTGAGCAGTTAGTGTCTGTTCAGTTGCCAGGGTATCAAAATCCATGAATGGGCTGGGGCTATAGCTCAGTTGGTAGAGTGCTGGGTTAGCATGAATATGGTCCCAACATCATCCCCTAGTACGACTTAAACAGGTAGATCAAGTCTGCAACCCTAGCACTCAGGAAGTGGAGACAGGACGGTCAGAAGTTCAAAGTCATTCTTGACTATTGGGACATCTGAGAGAACAGACTGCTATACATAACACCTTAAGAAAAAAATAAAATCAAAGCAAATTTATATTTGTATCCTTAAGAATTGTCCTAGATTTAGCTTTAAGTTAAAAATTTAAA